AATGCATCCTAAGATTGTATTAGCTTTCACAGCCACATCGCACTACAGGCTCATGTTTAGCTTGTGATCAACCAGAACACCTAGATCCCTTTCACATTTGCTGCTGTCAGGCCAAGTCCCTCCCATTCTATATCTGCGCCTTTGTTTTTTTTTGTACCTAAGTGTAGGACTTTGCACTTCTCTCTATTGAAATTCATTTTATTTGTCTCAGCCCACTGTTCCAGCCTATCTAGATCATTTTGAATCCTGACTCTGTCTTCTTCAGAATTAGCAATCCCATCTGCAAATTGGATAGGAAGGGCCTGCAAGCACACCTGCTCTCTGTGATCAGCCACGTTTCACAGTGTCACTGATCATGAGGAGAGGGCATCTATGCAGGCACTTCCTATGCAGATCCCTAGGCAATCATGTGGGGTCCTGCTGATGGGATGTCTGCATGGGGCTAGAGTCTAGGTCAATTGCCATCAGTGGTGTTAGACTGGAGTAATTGGATAGAATTTCACTATAAGCCACCAGCAGAACTGTGCTAGCCACACAACCATAGTGAAAACTGGGAAGAAAAGGAGCAGAGGCCTCAGCCCTACACTCCTCTCCACTGAGGAGTTATTCAGACCACCAGCACCACTAGGAGCTCAAAACCAGTTTCTCGATATGCAAAGATGCCAAAAATGCTCACTGTGACAGAAGCACATCATTATTTTTTTCCTTTTCTTTTTTTTTTGCTGTCAAGTCACAGCTGACGTATGGTAACAGTAGGGTTTCCAAGGGAAGAGAGATGTTCAAAGGTGATTTGCCATTGCCTGCCTCTGCGTAGTGACTCTGATGTTCCTTGGTGGTCTCACATCCAAATAGTAACCTGGGCTGACCCTGCTTAGCTTCCAAGATCTAATAAGATCAGGCCAGTCTGGGCTATCCAGGTCAGGGCACATTCTTTCTACCCCATCAGATAGAATAAAAAGTTTCCCTGCACCTTGGGAACAGTTTTTTTGGAGAGAGCAGGGAACTACTGAAAGAAGAAGTCAAAGATGCTTTGCTCCATTCATGAGTAGCCAAGATCCAACCCATTTTTTACTGCAAGAAAATGGTTCATTTTGGCCATTGATGTGCTATATCTGACAAGCATAGGCAGAGGTCGTTTCGTAGAAAAAGAGCTAGGGGAACTCATTAGCATAACTCATTAGCATATGCCACACCCCCTGACATCACCGGAAGTGTGTCATAAGGCCACACACCGCGCCCCCAATGGTCCCGGCCGGCGGAAGTGCAAGGAAGCCCCGCGAAGGCCCTCCCTGGGGTGGGGAGAGCCAGGGAGGAAGCAACTTACCCTCCCTCTTCTCCTGCCTCCTCCTGGCTGAATGAGGGCCGGAAGTGGGGCGGCCAGAAGCAGGGGGCGGGGCTTCGTCATGTGCCCCGCCCCCGTACCTCACCCGGGGGAACTGCGATCCCCCGCGATCCCCCCCGAAATGACCTCTGGGCATAGGCATGCCCACTTTTTTTATATAGGATGCTGCATCTATGA